TGCGCATCTACACAAATTTCTGTATAGATGCGCTAATGTAGCGGCGCCCCAACTATAATTACTCAATTCTCTGAAATCTTCTAATAATGGTAAATACTGAAGATGTATAGTATTACCATTAGTATCCGGAAATAAAAAACACCCAAAAAGCAAAAGTAAATAAATTCTAGTCTTATAAATTTTTTGTTCCTCTGGAGACTCATTGGTTATGGTTAAGTCGCCATAAATTCTTTTTAGCCAAGTGATTTTAAGGCTTTGGCCCTTCCTATCACCTCGTTCTAAAGGCACCCCCAATAATTGTTCCACTAATTCATAGTTAACGTTGGTGCAACCCACAACCGCTGAGCCATTGACACGGAGACCCAACAACATATGGACATCCTCAAGTGTCACTGTGCATTCCCCAGTGGGAAGATGAAAAGTGTGGGTTTCGGGTCGCCATCTTTTGCAATGTTTTCCATGGTACCACGGTGATCATCGCCTAAGGTTAGTAAAACCATCTTTGAGAAATAATAGTAAAAGTTGTAGGAGAGTATGAAAATTGAAAGAGATTTTTGTGTTGGAAGTATGAAAGTTGTAGGAGATTATGAAAATTGTAAGAGATAAATAGGAGGTAAATAATTTTGGGTTGGTGTAAAATTAATTTTGGGATAGTGTAAAATTAATTTTCTGCATGCATAGGACTTATTTTTTTTGCATGCATAGACGTGTAGGCTGCACCCATGCAGAGTCTTAAAAGACTTTGACCACCGCCTATGGATTGGGCGGCTGTGTCTCTTTTACACTGACACCCGCAGTTGGAATGGGCGGCTGTGCATTGAATTCCCTGACATCCGTTTTTGGAATGGGCGGCTACCTTCAGACAGCATAAATGCTTTGCAGACATCCGTTTTTGGAATGGGCGGTTGTGTGTTAAATGGGTTGACCAACGCCTATTCAATGGGCGGCTGGGTTTCTGGTTTATTTGTTACGTGAATGCATGGCATGGCTGGTTCTACTATATTTACTACAATCTTACTATCTCAATTCTACTCAAACAATTCTACTCAAACAATATTTTCCTATCTCTATTACTATCTCAATTCCTACTCAAATAATCATACTCAAACAATATTATTCTTCTACCTCTATTACTATCTCAATTCCTACTCAAATAATTCTACTCAAACAATATTTTTCTTCTACCTATATTACTACAATTCTACCATCTCAATTCTTACTTAAACAATTCCAAATAATCCTACTCAAACAATATTTTTCTTCTACCTCTATTACATAATGTCTAGTGCTCAACAACATATTGTTAACGCCCATTTTAATGGAAGTGTTGTTGTATCAGACGAAGTGGGTTTGATATTTGAAAACACTGACGTAATTCGTTTCGCTGTTAATAGAAGATCATCATTCCAACATTTCAAAGAAAGGGTACAGATGAAGTTGCAAGCTGGATCAGTGTCACAGATGATGTACAAAAATGCCGTCCGTTTCGGCGACAATCACTTTAAATTTGTTCCACTGAAGATTCGTGACGACGAGGATGTTGAAACGATGTTCTCGAATCATGAATGTTGTGGGTTTCAGTACATTGATTTATATATAACATTCGCACAAGTTCAAGAAACGCAGACTTCTCAGGTGATCAATCCATCCATAATTCCATACGAAGATGTTGAAGACGGAGACGGCGAAGAAGAAAACGAGGCACAAGTTGATGATTTATATACTACCTTGTTTGAGGAAGGGATCGAAGTCAACATAGATGATCAATGTGTTCCACTTCAAAATGTATTCATCCCACCAGCGCATATGACAACCCTGCCACAAAGCGTAGAAGGAACATCATTTGATTGGCCACAGAATCCTCGTTTTCCCGCGGAAGGTGACATAGAAGTCGGATACCAATTTAAAAATAAAGCTGACTGTGTCGCTGCCATTAAGCAATACCACATGAAACACTGTGTGGATTACAAAGTGATAGATTCCGACAAGAAGAGATACATAATTTGTTGCAGGAATGATTCCTGCAAGTTCCGTCTCGTGGCGTCCTACCGAAAAAGAAGTGAGTTGTGGGAGATAGGCATTATGAACCCACCCCATAGTTGTTCAACAACTTTGTTCAATCAGGATCATCAAAAACTAACCTCGCAGTTAATGTCTCAAAAGTTAATGCCTTTTGTAGACAGAGATCCTTCTATTAAGGTTAGTGTTTGCATAAGTAAAATTGTTTCCGAATTCCATTTTACTCCGTCTTACAGAAAGACATGGATTGCAAGAAATAAGGCAATTGAACAAGTCTACGGTAACTGGGAAAGCTCGTACAATGAACTTCCACATTTTCTGTTAGCACTTAAAAAATATGTTCCGGGCACTGTGCTGGAAATAGAAACACTACCCATGCATACATCTGACGGAACTATTGTTGAAGGGAAACACATCTTCCACCGGCTATTCTGGGCATTCCAACCATGCATCAGAGGTTTTGCGTATTGCAAACCTATACTTCAAATTGATGGAACCTGGTTATACGGTAAGTACAAGGGTACACTGCTTATCGCAGTTGCACAAGATGGGAACAGCAACATATTTCCGGTTGCTTTTGCCCTTGTGGAAGGTGAAACCGCTGAAGCCTGGGGTTTTTTTCTGAGAAACTTAAGGAGGCATGTCGCCCCACAACCAGATCTATGTTTAATTTCAGACCGACATGCCTCAATTGAAAGTGCATACAACAATGTGGAAAATGGTTGGCACGATCCCCCTTCAGTGCATGTTTATTGTATCCGACACATTGCACAAAACTTTATGAGAGAAATCAAGGACAGGAACCTACGGAAAAAAATAATTAACATGGGTAACTATATTTCTTAATATTCATTAAATTTTGTCAATAACATATATTATTTTGTCAACATTTTAATATGATATTTTAATTATTCAGGATACGCTTTAAACCAGCCAACATTTCATTAGTATCGGTCAGAGATTAGCATGGCAAATGCAGATGCTTTAAGGTGGATTGACAATATTCCAGCCGAAAAATGGACAAGGGCATTTGACGGCGGTCGACGTTGGGGTCACATGACTACCAACCTTGTCGAGTCAATGAATGCGGTCTTTAAGGGCACACGTAATTTGTCCATTACGGCATTGGTAAGGGCAACGTATTATAGACTAGGATCTTTATTTGCTGAAAGGGGTGGAAAGTGGAGTGCTGTGTTGAATTTTGGCCAAGCATTTACAGACAACTGCCTCAAGGTTATGAAAGAAGAAACAACAAAATCCAGCACGCATCAAGTAAGAATTTTTGACTACAGGAACAATGTTTTCAGTGTGCAAGAGACAATGGACCATGGTGAGGGGAAACCTATGGGACATTATAAGGTCGACCTCTTGAACGGGTGGTGTGACTGCGGAAAGTTTCAAGCATTTCGTGTCCCTTGCTCACATGTTATCGCTGCATGTTCGAATGTGCGCCACGACGCTTACACTCTTTTGTCCGACGTTTATAGGGTTACAAACCTATTTGGGGTTTACAGCGCAAGTTTTCCAGTGATGCCATGCGATGAATATTGGCCTGTTTATGAAGGAGATCAAATTTGCCATAACCCAAGAATGCGAAGGAACAAGAAAGGTCGCCCTGTAAGCACACGTATTACAACAGAAATGGATAACTTTGATAAGCTTGAGAGGAAATGTTCCATGTGTCGTCAAACGGGACACAATCGCACCCGGTGTCCCAATGTGGGAACAAGTAGTCGTTAGTCCTTTTTTTAATCATCATGTATTAATTAATATTAGTTAATAATTTCAATCAATATAAATTATGTCTTCAATATATACATTTAAATTAATATTAATAATAGTGTCACATAATACATATACTAATAAATACTAATATTATTAATATTAATGTATATTAATATTATAAATATCATTAATATTAATTTTAAAATATATTAATAATATTAACATAAATATATATTATTAGTATTATAAATATAATTTTAAAATATTATTAGTAATATTAATATATATTAAAATTAGTATTATTAATCTATTTTAATAATAATATATATTAATAATAATACATATTAATATTTAAAAACGTTTATTATAATATATTTATAATAATATATTAATATTACTTATATTATTACTAATAGTATATTATTATTATTAATATATATTAATATTAACATATATTAAAATTTATATTATTATTCTATTTTTATAATAATATATATTAATAATTATATATATTAATATTTAAAAATATATTTTCAGCCCAAAAAAATTATGTGTGGTCACTGCCGCCCTTCCAATGGGCGGTTGCCTTTAAATTTTCACATTTCCGCCCAATGAATGGGCGGTTGCCTTCATCCAAAAAAATTTTCGTTTTTGAAACAATGGCATTTCAGTATATATGTGTATAAAAGTGGCATTTTGGAGTATATGTTCCAATACTAGGGCACAAATGTAAAAAATTCGAGAAAAGGTCGAAATCAATGAATTCGAGATACGAGGCTTTGGCTATGAATTAAATAAGTGATTCTGATTCTTTTTCTGTGATATATAAATCAAAATAAACCGCTAATTTTTCTATTTTTTCAGCCGCAATAATTGTTTTCAACAGTTCCAGAAAAATACAACACAACCCCTTATGCCATTTTCATCAATTTTTAATAATATTAAGTTGCTGAAACCAAAAAAAGTTTAAAAATTTTGGTGACCCACTTATTGTTTTTTTTTTTTTTTTTCATAATTTTGGCCATTAGGAACAGATTGAAGTTCACTGAAGAGAAAGTTTGATATTTTTTAATGCAATTTTATCTTAAAGTGGTTGGAAGGCACTGTTTTTCAGTTTCTCAGTATTTGGTTTCCAATGTTTTTATTGAATGTTAAAGCGGTTAAAGTTTGGTTCTTCTGAGGTTTAGGGTAGTGATTTTGAGGAGTGAGAGCGTGGTGGTGAGAATTTGTAGTTTCTTTTGCATAGATCTGAGTAAATGGAACCCCCTTCTGGATTCTATGCTTCATTGTGGAGTTTCATCCACTTTCTTCCTTTCTTCATTGGTCTTCTGGTTCTGGGAAGCATTAAAGGTTGGTGATAATTGATTTTCTTGGCAATTTGTTTTTTGATAAATTATATTGGCTTAAAAACACGACTGATTTTGCTTTGAATTTTGCTTGACTTCATTGCATGTGTTTCATTTTACAGATTTTTCTTAAAACTTATTCATTTTTCCCACATTAATAGCATTTTCAATCATGATTAATTCTATGTTCTGCTTCTCATTAATTTTAGAGATTTGTTGATGATGCAATATTATAGAGACGGAATTTTGAAACTGCAAACAAGTTGGAACCTATTTGAATCACTGGAATTTCTACAGTTTGTATGCTTGTTTTATTTTCTAATACAGAATATGTAATTGATAAGTTCTTATATGTCATGCTTACAATACCTGAAGAGAATTATGTGTTGGGTGAAGCGGTGGCAAAATGGGTCGGGTCTGCCCGATTAACCCATCATTTTTGGCGGGCCGAGCCAAGGTTTTCGACCCGACACTCTACTTTGCCCACCCCGTCGGGCCTTAACGGGGGCAGCATGGCTTATTGCCATTTTTAGGCTTTAAGAGTGACAGGGCCCCCCCGCCTGCCCCATTTTTTGGTGGGCCAAACCAAGGTTTTCAGTCCGACCGTCTACTTTGCCCACCCTGCCCTAATTTGGCGGGCGGGACTAAACGGGGGCAGCATGGCTTTTTGCCATTTTTAGGCTTTAAGAGTGAAGGGCCCATCCTACCCGCCCCATTTTTTGGCAGGCCGAATCAAGGTTTTCGGCCCGCCCCCTTACTTTACCCGCCCCTCCCCGTTTTTTTGCTTTCTTTGAAGTGGCGGGCCTAAAAGGGGCCGATATGCCCGTTTTCCACCCCTATGAGATAGTGATATGCCGACACAGAATAATTTGAGATAATGAATTAAATGTGTTGAGTATTAGACACAAGACACGCTTTTAATCTGAAGTCTTGGTGCTACATAGATTGTGTTCTTTACTTAGCACTTACTATTGCTCAAACTGCAAATCGCTTCAGGTGTCATTCTCCTCCCATTGACATGCATAATAATGACAATTGGGAACTCTGCTATCATACTTGGACTTTGGCCAGCGCATGTCATTTGGAGTTATTACTGTGTTCTGAGGTGCTTTTCTTGACTACACTCTTTCAGACTATTTTGTTGATCTATACGTTTATCAAACTTGTAATTACTTATAGTGATTCCCCTAACTCACAGAGCTAGGAAATTAGGACCTCTTCTGAAGCTTGTTATCTGCATATGTGTACTGCCAGTGCTGTTGATTTCATGGCCAGTGCTTGGTATCATTGGAAGTATTGTAGGTGGAGCAGCCTATGGATTTCTTCAACCAATATTTGCTACTATTCAAGCTGTCGAGGAGGGAAAAGATGACAAACTTCTACACTGTTTTACTGTATGTTTTTGTTTCTATGTCGTTTAAATTCTCGTTATTTCTGTTTATCTTGTTGGTATTTGTTACAGAAATTTCATACTACTTCTCAGGATGGTACTTGGAGCACTATAGAAAGGAGCTGCATGGTCGTTCGGGACTTAAAAGATGTTTGTTTCCTTTCCTACTTCTCGGTTATGGATGACCTGCGACTGAACGGACCGCCTAATAGTAAATATTATGAAATCAGGTGTTGTCATTGGAAACCTCTCTGTTTATGTTACCATGTTTCTAAAACATTCCTTGTTATTTCTTGTATTTGTGCTTTTCCAACATATTATTCTACATAATCAATTTGCTAGTAGTATTTTCGCTCTTTAAGGGAGATTATTCGTAGGTTAGACTCTAAACCTTTCAGTTATCAAATTTAAACACTTGATGATATTGTTGAGATACTCAAATTGGATGAAATATGACCTGAAATTGTGGTTAAACCCCACCTTACAAGCCAATATTGCAATTTTGTAGGATTGAGTTAGGCCAAACCCAATTTTTATTATCAAAGCCTATCCAAAATTCATTAGAACACCCGTTAATGAACTACTCACTCGAGATATCCGGTCTTAGGCATAAGAGGGGTAGTTGAGAGCTTGTATCGGATGGGATATAACCAGTGTTATCATATAGCGGAGCCATGGCCACTATGGCGGATATACATGGCAGTTTTGGGGCTCGCCGCAATGGTAAATATCGGCCGATATTGCAGGTTTTTTTGTCATAATCCACTATAACGGCGCCGCAAAGCGGTTGGTATGGCAGGATTTTGACTCTCTGTCATGGACCGCCATCCGTCATCGACAACACTGGATATAACCTGAAAATGTGTTTATAAGTGGAACACATCTCTTGACATACAAGACGGATTTGTAGGGTTAAGTTAGGACTAACCCAAATTTTAAGAGATCAGATTTGTAGGGTTGAGTTAGATCAGTTTGACTTTGTCATACCATCTTTTGAAAATGTAGCCATTAAAATCCAAAAGAGGGCACTACTGTTCTATGTTTAACTACTTTTCTTAGTTATCCTTTTCATTGTATCATTATACTGCATGGTCTATTTTGTAATTTTAATGATTTTTCTTTATGCAGTCTGCTGTATCTTCCTGGTGCTTTTCTAGCTGCAGTTATTGGATTATTAATAGATGTACCAGTTATATCATTTGTTGCCATATGCAAAGGCCCGTACATGCTTTTCAAAGGGTGGCACCGATTGTTTCATGACCTTATTGGTCGTGAAGGTCCTTTCTTGGAGACAATATGTGTACCTTTTGCAGGTCTTGCTATCCTTCTGTGGCCATTGGCTGTTGCTGGGGCTGTTTTGGCATCAATTTTAGCAAGTTATTTTCTTGGTGCGTATGCCGGGGTTGTTGCTTATCAGGTTATTTCTCACACATTTCCACCTTCTACATGTACTATTATTATTATAATATCTAGTTATGATACACTCATGGATTGGTTCAGAGAAAAGGAATTAACAAAAGAAAGAATTTTTTATGGAAATCAATAGCCGTCGTAGAGCCCCCCTAGGTGCTATGCGAAACCCCATTGGGTGACAGTTTTGTATAGTAGTTATAACTTATAACGTCACCTATAGCAACCAAATAGCAGCTGTAGCGGCCGATACAGCCTTGATTGTCAAAAGTGGAAGGTTGTGATGCGTTCTCAGAGGAGGGTTGCGGAGCGGCGACCAGTTGCCGCTGCATGAGTCACTGATGTGTTTCTTATCAAGAGTGTCGCTGAAATAAAGGGGTCATGGCACAATTTCACAGCACAGTTCGCATATGGAGCAGCACACCGCACTGTTGTCAAATATCGGCCAAAGCGGTATGATGGAGGATTGCGGTGGCAGATTTTTTTGACAACCGCCGTGGCAATTTTGTGAAAGATGGTGGTGCCATGTTTTACGGCGGATATGGTCGCTTATAATGGTGGATTTTTGGCTTTCTGCCACCTGCAGTCGATAACACTGGCACACCATGGCGGCATGGCCTCAATAGTGAGTATTACAATAATGATGCTAATGTTTTCTGCAATATGAAGCCATTGAACCTGGAACTGATCAAGTGGGCTATTATCATTTAATGGATCAACTGTGATGTTAATGTTTTGTTCATAGAATTTGTGATATTAAATTCAAATATTGCATTTTGGGTTTGGGTATTTTAAAGAACACTGCACCAATTTCATTTTAGGTATGTCTGATGGAAATAACTGTGATATTGTAGACTCCTTCAATTGCTGTCTCAGACTCACGAATGTATGTGCCTATGAAAATTACATACAAATGACTATGCAAGAGAGTTATTTGATTTTGATACCTAGATTCCAGTGTTATCAAATATCCACCATGGCGGCGCTATGATAGATATACATTGCGTTTTTGGACTCGTCGATATTATGGGTTTTTCCGCCATAATACGCAATAACTCGCCGCAAAGCAGCCAGTATGGTGGGATTTTGGCTATCCCCCATGGACAACACTGCTAGATTTATAAATTTACAATACTATGACTACCATGTGTACAATGCATGTATATATAGAGATATATCAAAGATAAGTCCCTAGCTGACTAAGCATAGCAGAATCATAACTATAGTTGTTATGAACTTAGATTTTGATACATAGATTCACAAGCCACTAGACTCGCTGGACTATGAACCCATCAGAATTTAATTTAATGAATATTTTAATTTTAATTTTGTTATTGTGGTTTGCTTTAGTACTAAAATATTGTGTTGAGATTTGTCAAGAAATGTGGTCGGGCCTAACTCAACTCTACAAAACCGGTTGGCAGAGTGAGGACTGCTCCCACTTACATGTTCAGGTGATACATTATCCGACGTGGGACTCTTAACAAGATTCACTATGCACATAGTATTAAATCGTGTTTAGATGGTATCATATATTTTCAAACATCAATGTTGTATTAAATAAATTATCATGACTCTACGAGTCTAGACTATGGAGATTTCACGAGTTTAATAAAGCTCTCAAGTTAACAACCTTGCGGTAAATATTAGGGTTGAAAATGACTAAATAAATTTCAACTTAGCTGCCTCATTTTGAATGTGAAAGTATATGATGTATATGATAGGTCGAGCCTTGAGTGATTTGAGGCTTAGCCATTCTGTTTCTGACAGATATGATCATAGACATATAGCGTATATGATTGACATTACTGTCATAGCTGCTTTGTAAGATTGAGTTCTATGATATTTGGTAATCTCAAAATGCTTAAAATTGTTGTCTTTGAATCTACCGAGTTGCTCACTATTTTAGGGTCAGCCGCTCCACCATCCGGGACTGATAACCTAGATCTCTAGTTTAAATACCATATAATTGGTTTTCTATCAATGTCTCGCTAGTATATGACATTGTCACTTAAGTTGATACGAACTGTGTTTATTTCTTCTTTGAAATGCAGGAATCTTCTTTTAGGTTCGGCCTTCGGTATGTTATTGCTGCTTTGTCCCTTTATGATGAATACAGCAATGATATTCTCGACATGCCAGAAGGAACCTGCTTCCCTAGGTTTGGTTCAGCTTCCCTATATTTATCACTAAGACTTGCAGTGATGCTTTGGTTTAATGGTTTTACACATTTGGCATTTGATAGGCCTCAATACCGGAAAAATGACGATTCATCACTAAGAACTTCCGGCTCAGCTTCAGTTTCAAGACCTAGCTCCTTCAAAAAGGCTCCCTCTCGCTCATCTTCAATAAAAAATAATATTGCCGAGTTGAAATCACTTGAGGTATTCGCGCATGACTCGTCTATTGCCTCAGTTTGTTGGAATTTTGTTTTTTGCGGACTGGGGATCTGTACTAATCAAATATTGTTCATGATATGTGTAGCTGTTGGATGGATTATTCAGGGAATGTTGCATTGTAGGAGAAAAACTGATTTCTGAAGGTCTAATTACAAGAAAAGACATAGAAGAAGCAAAATCTGGTAAAGGGAGTAATGTTATTACTATTGGGTTGCCTGCATATTGTTTACTCCAGGGGCTTTTACGCTCCGCAAAAGTCAACTCCATGGGTATATTGATTAGTAAGTCAAAGTCGAACCATTTTTCTCATTTTCTGATTATTTTCTTTTAGCCACCTTGAACCATTTTTCTTCTCTTTTTCCAATTATTTTCTTTTAACCACCTTGAATCATTTTTGTTACTTGCTCAATGTAGATGATGATACTGAACTAACTCTGACAAACAGACCAAGGGAGAAGTTTTTTGAATGGTTCCTCAATCCCCTTTTGATCATTAAAGAACAAATTAAAGCTGAAAATCTATCTGTCTCTGAAGAGGACTACCTCTGCAAATTAGTTCTCTTGAATGGTGAAGCAGAGAGAATAAAAAAATCAAGTATTGGCCCGGCCCCAGAATCAGAGGTCAAGCGTGCTGAACTTGATGCTTTGGCCCGAAGGTACTTTTAAACCAAATGCTAGTTAATCATTTTTAAAGGTTCTTTTGTAAGCTTTTGTACTGATAACTCATTTGAAGGTTTTCTGTCTAATTTGGATTTCATTTCTGTTACGTAGGCTGCAAGGAATCACCAAATCCATGTCACGGTTCCCAACCTTCAAGCGTCGTTTTGATGATCTTGTAAAGACATTATCAGATGATCATGCAGAGAAGCATGGACCTCCATCAACACCGACGATTAATAGATCAAAGAGTGCCTTTGGCCGGTTGATTAGTTTCAAATCTGTCAGGGGGGCAAGAACTTATGGATCTGGTCATGGGTCAGAACATATTGTACGAGATGAAGAAAATTCTTGATATGAAAACCTTGTATATTTTTAACCCAAAGATACATAATTTCTCGAAACATCATTGCCAGTTTTCTCGGCCCAACAACCAAAATTGGAAACTTGTCTCTCTACTTAATGGAATAAGACTTGATTACTCTTTGCTGTATATTGTTGTATAGTACAAAAACATCATGTCATAGATGATTTGTTCATCTTTTGATCAGTGTATTTGATGACAACTCTAATATATGACCATGTTTTTTTCTTTCGAATGATACTGAAAAATGAATTGAGATGTAAAAACATTTGAGCGAAATGCAGTCTAACATTCTCATGACGTTCATGTCTACCTATTTGATTTTGCACACTAAACTTCATTCTCAATCAACTGTGGCATCAAGGTCTTTCGTGCTTTTTGTCCAGAGAATCCTTCACACGCTAGTATTTTTTCCCCTAATTCATTGTTTTGATTAAGAGAAAATGCACGGTAAAAACAAAAGAAGAAACAAAACTTGAAAGGAACATCTTCAGCGTCTTTCCATGCATGCGAGTCAAAATTTCAATAATAATTCCACAAAAAGTGTTATATCTCTACTTTTCTTATGAAAATGTAAGTAAACATGAGTGTGATTCTTTTGCCTTAGCTAAGGATACAAAAAATGTACAAAGGTTACAAAAGGTTCGACTATGCTAATTTCAATATGCTAAAACTTAAGAACTTTTTCATGTCTGTGTGATGAAATTCGGATTCCCTGCTGTAAAGGAAGCATCCGTTTACACACAATAATCAATCTTAGCTGATAAGTTGTGATCGGACTGTCCGGATTACACAATAATAAAATCAGTTTTGAACATTCTTTGCCATTGACTTAGATCAGAATGCCGAGATTACGATCTGTACAACGTAGTTACTGCAGCAAATCCATTTCAGATAAAGTTCTCTTCTGTAAAATGGATTATTTCTCCTGGGAACATGTGACAGATTGTATGTTTTTTCCAACTTTCACTCTAGCCTTTTTATCTGCAGGAGGAGGTCCTAATAAACCTACATCAATGGTGGCACCATGAGCTTCAGCGGATTGCAACACAGCATCGTAAGCTTTTAAAGATAGACCAAGGCCTTCGTTCTGAGCTCTCAAATATAACTCATATGCAAGCCTTGGCTTTCTGTCGTTTGCAAGGGCTCCAATCAGCATTTCATAAGTTACCTCATCGGGAGTGATGTTCTGAACTTTCATTCGATGAAACCATTCATAAGCTGCACTAGTCATACCATTCTGCGCAGAACTGCTGATTATAGCATTGTACATCACTACTGTTACTTCGATTCCTAACGTTGTCATCTCCTGAATTATGGCATCAACTCTACTAAAATTTCCTTGTGCAGTGTAAATTGAAGCCATGATTGTGTAGACATACACGTTTGGCTCAATGCCAACCTTGAGCATGTGGTCCCACACGCGGAAGGCTTCGTCGTATAGTTTTCCTTTTTCAAGTGCACTCAATAAAGCACCGTATGAAATTTTAGTTGGTTTTTGGCCATTTTCCACCATTCTTTTAAATATTTGCACAGCTGCTGACGTTTCCGAAGCCTTCGAACAGGCGATAAGAACTGCATCCCATTCACTACTTCTAGGTTTTAAGCCTTTTTCTTCCATCTTGTTTAACAACCTGACACCCCATTTCCAAATACCCTTTCTCTGGACTGCACTAAGAAGAAATCTGAAATTAGACATTATGAGTTCATATGACAAGTTATTCGGCTTTGGCCCTTTGTCCAATAAATCTTCATAAACCCCCAAAGCTTCCCACCATTTCTTGGTTTTCCCCATCAGCCAAATTGTATGGTTGCAGACCGACAAACTGATCTTATCATACCGTTCTCTTATCCGAATGTACAGCTCTTTCACAACAATATAGTGATCTTCGCGAGTACAGGCCCACACAAGTCGCTCAAGTTCCGCACGCTTCAGTGGAATCCCAGCATTATCCATACTAACAAGAAACCTCAACACATAACTGCTCTTATTTTCAGAACTGACGAGCCAACATCGCATTATCTGATAGCAAACACGTATCGTAAAGCTCTCAAGCTTTTTGAATTCTTTCTCCCAATCTTCACCATCGTCGTCTCTTCCTATTTCACCTAGCCGATATTTTTCTCTAAACTCAACAAAGAAACTCAAAGCTCCATTACCATCTTCCATTTTCCGATACGCCAGCACAGCCTGAGAATACGACATCGGAGACAGGGTAAGCCCATTTCTACGGATTTCCTCAAGCATATCAAGAGCTTTTTCACCTTCTCCTTTCTCAATATAAATCCCCATCAACAAATTATATGTCATAACATCATATCCAACACCATCTCGAGCCATATCGTTCAAAATACCTTCTGTCTCCGCAAATATCCCACACTCCTTAACTACACCTAATAGACATTTATAAATAAAAAGGTTAGGCGAAAAAGAGCCATTAGTCTCTATCTTCCTCTTCTTCATCCAATCAAAAAGAATCATAGCAGATTTCGGTCTCTTTTCTTTACCAAACCATCGAATCACCGTCGAATACACCTGAATAGGCAAATCACCCTTGTCCTTAAGAACCTCCTCAACATCCTCCACAGTCTTAGCACTCTGCAAACTAATAGCAAGTTCTCTAACATCAATCTTACCATCATGCTCTTTTTTTTCACCTTCCTCAACACCATCATCGTCATCGCAGTTCGATTTTCGCTCATCATAACTCTCCTGGACTCTATCCGAATTCGAAGTGTTTATGCCATCAAAAGAATCATTCTTCTCCTCATCCAGTTCAGTTTCAATATTGACTTCATTCAATTTCCACCTTACAGGTGGAGCTAAATCTCTAACATGACTCTTGTTAGGTTTAAAAAATGCATCATAGTTAAAATCAGGAAAACCTAATTGAAAGACGCCTAGAGTTGTTGTAGTGTTTTGAGAAATGGAAAAAAGAAAACCTAGCTTGAGTTTTCTTCTCCTGTTGAAATTGAAATCGGTGACAGTAGAAGAAGTCAAAGGACGAGAACAGTTAGGGGATAAGGTGTGAATCATTATGAGAAATTCAGAAGGAAAGAGGTGAAGTCATTGCATAAATGGGTTGTTAGTTCTTACCTTTCTATGACTGAGGGACGTCAATATCAGTGGAAGTAGCGGCGAAAATGTTTCTTGACAGCCATTCGTTTCAAGCTAACCCAAAGGATAAATCAAACAGCACGCGTAAGACTACTATCCTTTCTTTCACATGTTTTATTTATTTATTTTTATTATTATGGATTTGCTAAAACGTATTAATTTATTTTTTTCTTTGATTATACTAAATGCAATAGAAAAACTAAATTATTGCAAAAAGCGATTTTGTTACTGATCACTCAAACCCAAACTTTTGGGTATGTGAAAATCTATACTCAAATGGGGAATCACGTTTTTGGTAAGGGTTATTTTAAATTTTTATTTTTATCGATGCAAGATGTTAGAAGAGTTAGATCTATAACCTCTTGGAATCTCAACCCTAGATTTTTAAAGTCAAAAGATTTTAATCCAGGTCTACTAAAAATTTCTTCTACTCAAGTGTGGGTTAGGATTCATGGTTTTTCTCAAGAGTATTGGAGGCGTAAGATTTTTTTTGCTATTGTTAGCCGCATCGGAACTTCATTGTGCACAGATTCGACTTCAAACAAGTGTTGTTTTGAAAAACTTTTTGGGCATTTTGTGCGAGTGTTGGTTGACTTGGAATTAACCAATGCTTTAAGATGCAAGGTGTTAGTTGAAAGGAAGGGACTCGCCTTCTTTATCGAGTTGGAATATGAAAACCTTCTGGAGTTTGGTTCTTCTTGCAATATCATAGGACACAACTTAACCAATTGCAAAAGGAGAGTGGGGGGAAAATGATAATGGAACATAAAAACAAAAAGGTAGTGGATAAGACGTTCACTCTGAGGTCGATAAAGATTCTGCAACAGCAGTGGCCTTCACCATATTACCCGCATCAGCAGTGGACTTATCCGCTGTATCCAAATCAATATCAACAGTGGAGCTCCCCGCCATGGCAACCATGGGTTATACCACCTTGTCTGTATCCAACAACAAGAAGTCCAAAGGAACAACCCGACATTCTTGGTCCCAAGCCATCTACCAAGCTCATGTCACCAATGCAGCGCCAACCTCCTCATATGCTCCAACAGATATTCAAGTTGTCATGCATACTCTCTCACTTTCTACTCCTGATGATCAGTGGTACATGGACACCGGAGCAATCTCGCATATGACGGCCAACGGAGGTAATCACACGTCCTACTTCAATATGAGTAATAATGTTACTGCCGATAGTGGTCAAAATATTCCTGTAATTGGTTGTGGACTTGCATCATTACTAAATTCCCTTCATCCTCTAAAATTAACTAATGTTTTACATGCACCAAAACTCATAAAGAAATCTTATATTTGTTCGTAAATTTACCATAAATAACGATGTGTCGGTTGAACTTGATCTTTTTGGTTTTTCTGTGAAGGATTTTTAGACAGGAATATTGTTAATGAGATATAACAGTTCTGGTGACCTACTAAAACATTGCCACCATCCACCTTTGTCGCGTTATCCACGAAATTATGGCACAACCGTTTAGGACATCCAGGAGCTACTATCTTAAGTTCTCTACACCGAGACAACGTTCTCCAATGTAATAAGTCTCGGAACAATTACTTTTGTAATTCATGTCCTCTTGGAAAACAAATAAAATTGTCTTTTTATAGCTTTGTTATTGTGCACACTGACCTCTGGACTTCACCAATTCTTAGTTCAGAAGGTCATCGTTACTATGTGTTGTTTCTTGACGACTACACAAATTTTTTATGGACTTTTCCAATTCATACAAAACCTCAGGTTCATTCCATTTTTCTTCAATTTAGAACTCATATTGAAACACAATTTGAAATAAAAATTAAATGTTTTCAATGTGACAACGGTAAATAATATGATAACTCTATGTTTCATACTTTTTGTAAAAATAATGGAATGTCATTTAGATTTTCGTGTCCTCACACCTCCTCACAAAATGGAAAAGCCGAAAGAAAGATTTGTACCATAAACAACATCATCCATACCCTTCTTGCCCATGCCTCTTTACCTCCACCAATGTGACATCATGCACTACACATGGCCACTTACCTACATAATATCCTTCCAAATAAAAAGCTTTCCCTACAATCACCCACTAAAATGCTCTACCAAAAAGATCCAGCCTATACTCACCTTCGTGTCTTTGGATGTCTTTTCTATTCTCTCATCCCTTCATCATATAGGAATAAGTTACAAGCTCGGTCCACACCTTGTGTCTTCTTAGGATATCCCTCAAATCATAGAGGATACAAATGTTATAACTTATCTAGTCGTAAAATATTCATCTCCCCGCGTGTTATTTTTGATGAAACTAAGCTTCCATTTTCTAATCTAAATGTTCCTATAACAGTTGGCTATTGTTTTTTGGAAGACGACACACCCTTCCTTCTGTCTTATTCCTATAGTGTTCCACCCTCTAACCGTCAAAATCATACTCCACCCCTAACTACACCAGTTCAACAAACATTTACCAGCCATCACCATCTTCTTTTAACTCCCCTTCGTCACCCTCCCACAATCACACCTCACTAACCATAACATCAACCCCATCCATAACATCACCTTTAAACCCATCATTACCAACTATCGTCTCATCCCCATCTACTACATCAGTTCCAACTCTTCCACCTTCACAACAAAAACTGTCTTTCTCCCCTCAAATGACAACCAAAGCCCAACACGGTATTGTCAAACCTCGCAAACTCTTTAATCTCCATACCTCAACCTCAACCTCCATATCCCATCTACCTACAAATCCCATTGATGCATTAAATGATCAAAATTGGAAAGTGGCCATGAAAGACGAATATGATGCTCTTATTGAAAATAAGACGCGAGACTTTGTTCCTCATCCGTCTAATGCTAATGTTATTCGAAGTTTGTGGATTTTCAGGCATAAAAAGAAATCTGACGGATCCTTTGAGAGATGCAAAGCTCGCCTTGTAGGTAATGGTGCAAATCAACAAACGGGTGTTGATTGTGGTGACACATTCAGCTCAGTGGTCAAACCGGCTACCATTCGAACGGTTCTAAGTGTTGCTTATCTAAACCATGGTGTTTTCATCAATTAGATGTTAAAAATACTTTCTTACACGAGAATCTTCATGAAACAGTATACATGCATCAACCTCCTGGATTTCATAATTCTCAATTTCCTGATCATGTTTGTTTATTGAAGAAATCTCTATATGGTCTCAAACAAGCACCTCGCGCCTGGTACCAGTGTTTTACTGATTATGTAGCTACAATGTGTTTCTCTCACAGTATTCCAGACCACTCTCTTTTTATATATGTTAGATGTCAAATTTCACTTATTTGATCTATCATATATTGGCACCTTTCGCTCATTTTTGTCATAAAAGTGTTGAAAACCACTCTTGTTTTGGTTGGTTTGCAACATTATGAGAAAATCTCTTGGTACCGTTGATTTGTGTGTTATTGTGCAGGAATCAGGCACAAAACAAGTGAAAAGAAAGACACAAGAAATGGGCAAGGAAACCAAGACAACATGCAAAAAACTACCAAAATGCTGTCAGCTTGCTAGCAGCTCGCCTAGCGAGCAGGTAGCGAACGAGCCCAGAATTGAACAGATCTGAAAGTGCCAAAAGTTCCCGTTCGCTAGTTGTTCGCTAGCTTTTCGCCTAGCGAACGTGACAGAACCAAAAGATGTATTTAAGTCATTTTCTTGTATTTTTAGGTCATAAATCCATTTTTGGGAGAAAACTTGAGATTGTAACATTTTGGAACATCAGAACTCATCTCTCTTCATTTCTTGAGAGAGAGAAACACAAAACCCTAAGAGAGAGGAGGTAAGATCTTCGATCTCTTGTTGGGGTTTGGATTGTAATCTTTTGATACCTTATGTATTTCATCTAATTTATGTTTGTGAACTAGTTTTGATTCTCTATTGATTGATTATCTTTGGTTGCTTGTATGTGGGTCTTGACAAAACCTTTTCACATCTTTGATCTCAGATCTTCTTCTATCAATGAACAAACTTTTGACATGGTTTTGAAGTTGATATTCATTTTATCTTCTATGGTGTTGTGTTGATTAAGTAGCATGGCTAGCATGGGTAGGATCAATATGATATTGTATGGGTATGTGATAATAGTGATGAAGAATGTTGTTCACAACCATTTGGCGGATTAGATGAATACATGTAAAAAGGGTTAAGCGTGTGTACGTATTCTGATCATTGTATTTTATATGCAAAACAATTGTTTATCTGATATGGGTTTCATTCTTGTTTACCTGTTAATCTTTGATTTGAATCGTGATAGAGATATACTTTTCGGATCTGGAACTAGGATGATTACCTGTTAGGTCCTAATTGCTAGAGATAGTTTTAGACTTAGCATTTGTGTTAATATCGATTCTTAATGCTCTGTGTTGTCGAGTTGTGTGAGAGATCAACAATGAGACTATACGGTTATTTTCTCGACGTTGCATTAGAGATAAACTCTGTCGTGAGTGATACGTGAGGATATTAGACGAATGATTGCGTGGTGTTTAATTTGATCAGAAGAATGCACATGTTATCAATTGATGAAATCCAATCCCAACAAGGCTCCGTTAATATTTCAGTCTTTATTTTATATTTTCTGTTTTTATTTATGGTTCTTTGAACCTCTTTAACCAAACCTTTTGAACAAGAAGCTTGGAAATATGGAAACCATTAAACGGTGTTCAAGTCGCACTAATCCCTGTGGAGACGACAAAACTGGGTTACTTAATATTTTTTGCTTGCTGCTTTACAGCATCAACAAAATGGCGCCGTTGCCAGGGATTGGTGTTGAGATTTTGAAGTGCATTGCAACGGTTCTATGTTTTTAAGCTTTGTATATTTTGTATATATTTTTTCCTTTTTATGTTTTTTCTAGTGTGTTCAGGAATGACGAAAACTCCTTCTAGAGTGGTTGCTATCGGTATAAAA